ATTTCCTCCACTCACACTTAATCACATAATATCACTTGTCTTCCTCACCAAAACCTAGCCACCATTGAAGAGGACCTTTAAGCCTAGGCTTTCACATTGATTTTTGGAGGCCTTCCACTCATTTCTAGCCTTGACCTTGGGAATACTTTTTGTTCCCCTCATCCTCCTCTACATAAACCTTGAAGGGTAGATCATTCGGAGCTTCCTAGCCTTGGATTCTAGAGATACATTTCTCTAGTGAGGTAGGGGATGAACTATGTTTATTATCTAAGTGGATTAAACACTTTTGTAGTGAAGTATAAGTTATATGCATGTTTATTTATTAATTTGAGAAATTAATAATATATTCTAGCTTGCATGTAACTTACTTTTGACATGATATATGTGATGTTCTTGGTATAATCCTTGTTATATATTAAATTGGGATTTTTTGGGCAACTTTTGAAAATTAGAGATTTAATTAATATATATTAATTAAATTCCACTTGATTACTCCTTGCTCATATTGTGAAATTGAAGTGATATTTGAACTCACCATGGAATGGACATTCACATATATTATTTTGAGGAATTTTAGACAACTTTGATTTCTAGAAAAATTAATTAATTAGGTTAATTAATTTCTAGTTAGCGTTCTAATGAATCGACCCTTATTTCATGGGGCTTTTGCCTTTTTATCATGTATCTAGACTTCTTGTAACTTGATTTCATTAATGTAGTTAATGAATAACACAATTGTCTTGAAATGATTTAATTATTCATGTGTTGTTTAGTAAATAATTAAATCATTAATCTTATACTAGTAGTATATTCACATCTTTGGATTCTATGTACTTTAAATCCTAGTTTGTAGTCTATGTAGATACATACTATGATTTCTTGACATTTCACATGCCATTATAGTTGAGGACTTAGGACATGACTTGTGTGTTCCAAAATCTTGGTTGTGCATGGAACGTGGTTTAATGCATTACTTGTATCTTGATACACTCTTGGTTGTACAACTTGTTGATTTTAGAGACTTGGGATATCATCAAAAACTTGACTTGGCTAGGACTTGGTTCTAGTATGGGGGATAGAGAGCCACCTACATTATAGTGCACACTAGAGGAAGTTACCCATAGGTTAGTAGCCCTAAAGTGATCCCAAGAGTACGGTTGTAATCCGGGCGATATCCAAGTATCCACAATGGTTGATTTCACTCTTTAAATTTTAAGTTGTATTCCTTGAAGATTTAAATCTTGTTTTGTTGTTTAGATTATTCCAATCTTGTTCAATCTCATATATATTTTGATTCATGTTGCTTTATGCTAATATGACATAGGAGTGATCCTATAGAAACATTTTGGACATAGACGTTAAGTGGCATGACCCCTTTTGAATTATTTCATGTTAATGTGATAACTTGTAAAAGGTTAGGTCTATGCATGTTCATTCCCTACGAGTAACTTGTTTACTCACCCTAAAGTTATCGGGTTATTTTTCAGGTAAAGAAATATTATTATGGGATGCATAACATCTCTAGGCTTGCTTGACTACTTAGAGTATTTTTGTTATACTAGATTATGCACTTGTTAGCATATCATGCTTTATTTTGGTTTATTATGTCAAAAGTTGTAAGTTTTGTTCAAACAATATGTAATGTGCACATAAGTACACATTTTGATGTATTTGACATGTACGATATGCGACCGTAGGCCAATGACATTTACCTTGTATCCTAAGCACTTTTACTTTCAAGTTATATTATGGAAAAATAAAAAATAAATAAATAAATAAGGCAAGTCATTGCTTCACCATGTTTGCATCGAGTGTGGGAATTCCATTTTTATTCTTTCATAGGGTCTCATTAATCATGCATGAAGTGTGGCCAAGGGCCAAACGATAATTTGAAACCATTTCATAATTTTAAGTTTCAAAATTCCCTTTTTATGTGCATTTTCGCCTTTTTGGCCGTCGGGGGGTCGGATTTTGCATTGGGTCTTCTCAGGAGCTGCGGACCATTCTTACGCGCTTGAAATCATTTATTACGCTTGCGTGCATATTCGTTTTAGCCTAGAAATGCATTTAGGGTCAAATGCATGCTTGGTGCAAGTTGCATTTTTTTAAATTTTAGCCCTTTTCTAATCTAAGGGCATTCTGGGTATTTTACAGTGTGTTTTTTTCATTTTCTTCTATGTAACTGAGTAGAAAACTCGATTTCCAAGGGGGGGTCTCTTCTTTGTGTTTTTACAAAAAAAAAATCGTTTTGATGCTGAAAACAGCTCGCAGATCTGGAAAATTTAGTGCGCTCAGTTTTTTCAGGCTTTTGTGAAAAAAGTTCTGATCTAAGGGGTATTTCGGGTATTTCACTTGAAAAATAAAATCTTATCTTGGCATGGTCATGTAGAAAACATGATATTGGGGAGGGGTTTCTTCACAACTTTTTTCCAAAAAATATCGTTTAAGCCCTCAAAACCCCATTTGAATTTCGAAAATCTGTGCAGGCCCTGCACATACTTGAAACCCATAAAGTTGGTTTTTTTACAACCTTGACATTTCATATATTCTTCATCCAGACTCCAAATCAAGTGATTTTTGAGTCTAAGTTTATTAATTTTTGCTTGTCTATCCAACGGTATGCACGGTTGCATCCAATTCTATTTGAAAAGACCATTTTACCCCTTATCAAGTACCCTTACCGCACTGATTTGAAATCCAGAAGTTGACTTTTTTGAAACTTTGACGTTTCATATCTTCTTCATTCAGACTCCAAATCAAGTGATTTTTGAGCCTATGTTTATTAACTTTTACTTGTCTATCCAACAGTATACACGATTGCATTCAATTCTATCTAAAAAGACCATTTTACCCCTTGTCAAGTACCCTTGCCGCACTGATTTGAAACCCAAAAGTTGGTTTTTTTTAAACCTTGATGTTTCATATCTTCTTCATCCGGAGTCCGAATCAAGTGATTCTTGAGTCTAGATTTATTAATTTTTCCTTGTATATCTAACGGTATGCTCTGTTGCATCCAATTTTACCTAAAAAGACCATTTTACCCTTGGTCAAGTACCCTTCCCATTTTATAATCTTAGCTTCCGCATTTGATTCTTTTGAGTTCCGTGACTTCATGGAAGGTCACCTTGGTGTCTTAGGGATGTCGTGTATCCCTAGAGAACTTGTTTCTATTTTTGCTTCCGCATTTTGGATCCGTTTCTGGTTCTCTTACGGGTCATCACAAAACGCACTGGCTTGAAAAACCAGAGCCGTCATAGATATTACTTTAGAAATTGCCCCAGTGTGGGGTGTGATCATCGATGGGTGTCATGAACTGAAAATTTATTATAGCACGAGGAAATAGACTTAGCGCACTACAGATGCATTATTGGCACATGATTAACACACTAAGGGTGAAATTTAGACATTAGACTTTGAATGAATTCTAAAATGTTAAATTGTCTTTCAGTGAATGAAAAGGAAGCTTTTGTCTTTGTGATATATATTGGGTGAGTAAAAACTATGTTCTTATTTTTTTTTTTTTTTTCATGTAGAACCATTATTTATTTTATTTTTTTTTCATTTTCATTTTGAATGTTGCAACTATACCACTGGTTTCTTGTATTAATTTAATAAAAAAAATTCTCTTTAACTTGTATTATTTTTTATTTTATTTAGAGGCTAAGTACTCCTGAACAAATATGTTTATACCTTTTAAATGTTTAAGTTGGAAGTTAAATAGTTAAGTGTTACAACTCTTGGAATTTGCCACGAGTTACATGTATATCTCTTTCTTAGCACTTTAATCAAATATACTCCCTTATATTATATATTTTGGACATTCCCACTCTTTCATTATTTTGTGTTAGATTTCATTTCGATGGATTGTCATGGAGTTTGATAGATAATATTTGAAGTTGTGGCTAGAAATATGAAATTTTAAAAGAGTATTTAATAAGAAATTTAAAAAGGAAACATTGTTGTAACCATTTTTATTTATAGTTATTAAAAAATAGATGAGATAATTATTTGATTATTTATGTGGGATACTAAAAATCCTTTTTTTATAATAATTTTTATCAAATACTTCCATACTATTATGAGTGTAAACTATTTTTAATTATTTCTATATATTTTTAAAAAAAATTAACAAATAATATTTTAAATTTTAAATACAAAAGAATCGTCAAATTCACCAATTTAAAATTTATAAATAATAATTTAAGTTCTAAATACAAAGAAGTTGTATATTTCAAGATTCCAGTAATTGTAAAATAATATTTTGAAATTTTAAATACAAACAAGTTGCATATTCTACCATTTCAAGAGTTATAAATAATATTTAAAATGTTAAATATAAAGATAATCATTTTAGGAGTTATAAATAATATTTTAAAATTTAAATAAAAAGAAGTTGTTAATCAAGGTTTATAAATAATATTTTAAGTTTAAAATATAAAGAAATTGAATAGTCAAGTGTTATAAATATACTTTAAATTTGAAATACAAATAAGACCATTTCAAGAGTTATAAATAATATTTTAAGTTTAACAAGAAGTTGTATAGAATAATATTTTTAAATTTTAAATACAAAAAAATTATATATTCTATTTTTCTAACAATTACATTCAAGTTTTAAATATAAAAAAATATAAAAATTTTAAGTACAAAGAAATTATATATTTATAATATAAGATTATATTTCATTACGTTGCTTATGCTTAGTATATATAATAAACATGAAAGGTGTAATAATTAGGCGATGCTTTATGTGTAGTTTTAGGGGGATAACATGAAAGCTGTAATAGCGGTTTCCCCATTTAATATTTGTTTAAAACTTACGGAAGGTTTTGAAAATGGAAGCCAAACCAAGCTGTAAGCATTTAAAAGTCTTTGCAATGAATGCACTTGCGAGTTATACAGATAAACAAATCAATCAAGATTATGTGAGAAAACACATGGGTGTGGGTCGCACCTGCACCTGCACCTGCAGTTAACCTAACTCCTTGATTGTTTCTCAACCACCTCCCACTATAATTCGCAACCCATTTAAAATTACCCTTTTCACTATCAGTTCATCACTCTATATCACACACTCGGACACTCACACTCTCTCTCTTCTCTATCGGATCATTATTGTTATGGAGGTGGCTGCTGTACCTGGAACATCACCATCTCTTCCGTTGAAAACCCGAATCACACTCGCTGTCATCTCCACCGTCACCGACGTCTCTCGCCGATCCGACGGCACCATCAACCGCAGTCTTCTCCGCTTCCTCGATATCAGAGCTCCACCGAATTCGAAACCCATCAAAGGCGTCAAGACCTCCGATGTCACCGTCGACTCCTCCCGCAATCTCTGGTTCCGCGTCTTCGTTCCCACCCAACCACCACCGTCCGGCGACCCCCTCCCCGTCATAGTCTTCTTCCATGGCGGCGGTTTCACCTACCTTAGCCCCGACGCCAAGGCCTACGACGCCGTCTGCCGCCGCTTTGCCAGCAAGATCCCCGCCGTTGTCGTCTCCGTCAACTACCGCCTCGCCCCCGAACACCGATACCCGTCCCAATACGACGACGGATTCGACGTCCTCAAATTCCTCGACGATAACGAAAAGAAATCCGAGGCCGCCTTGCCGGGAAATGCAGACATTTCTCGGTGCTTCCTCGCCGGAGATAGTGCCGGCGGAAATATTGCCCATCACGTCGCCAAAAGAGCCTGCGAGTCCAAATTCCGGAAATTGAAGGCATGGATGGATTAAGTTGCATAGAAATTGAAGGCATGAATACAATATATATATATATATATATATATATATTTTTCTGATGATTGAATTGAATTCAGGTGATTGGGTTGACGGCGATACAACCCTTTTTCGGAGGAGAGGAGAGGACGGAATCAGAGAGAGTGATCGGATCATCGGGTTATTTGGTGTCGCCGGAGCGGACAGACTGGCTGTGGAAGGTGTTTTTACAGGCGGGAGAGGGGGACAGAGATCACGAGGCGATCAACGTGAGCGGGCCGAGGGCGGCGGACATATCGGTGCTGACGGAGTTTCCGGCGACGGCGGTGGTGGTGGGAGGGTTCGATGCGTTGAAGGACTGGCAGAGAAAGTACTACCACTGGCTCAAGGCCTCAGGAAAAGAGGCACATCTGTGGGAGTACCCTAACATGATTCATGCATTCTATATCTTCCCTGAATTGCCTGAATCTGACCAACTTATTTCTCAGGTCAGAGACTTTGTTCACAACAAGTGCTCCTCCATGGTTGACCCTAGCTAGATCATAGGCACATCTGCTTTTGTTTTTTTGTTTTTTTTTTCTGTTTTTGTTTTGTTTTTATCTATTAAGTATTATACTAGTGCTTAAATTTTGTATGATTAAATATTCTATTGTTCTCTTTGTTTTTTTAAAAAAAAAATTCAAAAGTTCAAGACAGGCCTCTACGGAGACTCTGGAAGTTTTGAAATAGGAAAATGATTTTAGAACAGAGTAGATGTAGTCTTGAAGACAACTTAAAAGAATGGTGTTTGAACTCGGACTAAAAATTTCGTCAATGTTCCGGCTCGCTATACAAGTTTATGTTTATGCCACACGAGGGATTCACAAACATTTTTAATCTTAAAATTTGTTAAGACTTGGATTCGAAAAATACATTCATTATTGTTCCAATTGCGTGTACAAGACAAGAATGAAAGCAAAAGATGTGTAGCAAGATGTTTAATACATTGGATAAGAATCCAACCTGAAATCTCTAGTAATTTGACATGGTGATAAAATCATTCAATTACTCTTAATCCGGTATTTTGAGAATTGTGACTCAAAAGTATAATTAATACCCGTGGATCATGAAGTTCTTAGTGAGTATATGGCAAAGGGGTACATAATTTGTCATTTATTTATTTAATTATTAGCATACATAATTTGTCATTTATTATTTTAAGATTATAAAGCAGAAAGAAAAAGAGTAGTTTTTGTATGGGATTTTTGGGTAAAGTGGTGGTAATGAAAGTATTTTACAAAATCATGAATGTAGTTTAGGTATTTACTATTTCATGAACTAATTTCTAATTGAACCCCTTTTATAAGCTAAAATTATATTTTCACCCCTAAAATTTATTATATGCACAATTTATCCAAATAATAACTTTTAGAAATTCTATAATATTGTCTAGTAACACTTAGGAACTATTACACCTCATTAGAATTCGGAAATACAACATTTAGCCTTTAACGAAGAATAGAAAAACTTAGATCTAGAATTATTTTTATAGAAAATATTTTAGAAGCTAGACAACAAAGGTTTTAGTTAAGTTTATGAGTAAAATAGAGTTTAATAACCTAGATACCTCAATAAAACGACTCGGAGAAAACTTAGATTATATTAAAACACAAATTGATCATAATTCCAGTCCTAGAAATTTAGACAACAAAATTATAATTTCTGCTATTAAAGATAGAAGTAGTGATATTAAAAATATTTTGGATAATCAAAAAATAATTATAGACTATTTAAAATCACTAAAAGAAGATATCCAAAAGTTATTACAATAATTTATGAGCACCAGTAATTCTGATTACTTACAAGCCTTATCCGAGCTCTATAAAATAGATAAATAACCTATCAAATTTATAAGCTTTACGACAGACGTAAAATTAACCAATATATGTATTTGACAAAATAACTTTTTAATCCAATTATTACTCTAGTTATCTGAAAAGATTAATAAACTTAAAGAAAAATTAAAGGTATTGCAAGAAAATATTCCTAGAGAATCTTCTAAAGAAATAACAGGACTCTCAGATAAAATAAAAAATTTAAAATTATCAACTAATCATTTCTCGACTAAAAACACCAAGCAAGTAAATCTATTACAACCATATAAAGAATGGCCATTATCCTTAGAAAAGTCAAAGAAATAATGCATGTAGAAGATCTATATGATAATGAGCATGATACTCAACATTCTATGGAAAATGGAATGAAGAAAACTTCCATTGAGATTTCAAATGTCCAATTCTCCTTCAAATCCACAGCACTCCCCCAGAATAGGTAAAAGATGGAGCTGTAATTCTTGGACAACATAGGATCTACATTAATTCAGATCCAGTGGAAGTTCAGAACCAGTTACAACATACCCCTTTTGTTAACGATTTTCGTATACATATCTGTTGACCTTAAGGATTTCATCCAATGACAATCTAGGTGTTTTGATGATAACAAACCATTAATGGTGTTTAAGGACTAATGTTTACATTGAGTGTTATATAGATTATTCACATTCAAAGAATGACCTCAATGAAGCACTAAAGATCATTCAAAATATTCCATTATTTAAGATCACATCAAGGAAAGAAATGGATACAATGAAGACATGAAGTTGCAAGGAACAAAATGCAATGTCCAAAGATAGCTTGGACTTCAATGAGCAAGAAAGCAACTCAAAGGAAGAAAGAAAGCAATACTACCTCAAGCCTAAACGATCATGGACAATGCATGAAGAAAAAGGGGTAGATAGGATGGTGAGTGTTTTGGATTCAATGTCAAAGTATTTATGAATCCATTTGAAGCTCATCTCTATAGGATCATGCATATTATCATCATTCACATTTTCTTATATCCTTAGTAATAGACTTTGCACTTCATTCATAGATATTGTCATATGAAGTCTTTGCTAAGAAAGGGTTAGTTCAAGCTTGCATAAGCTTTGAAAGAACTCGCAACTTGAGCTAGAAATGCTAGGACCATGCACATTAATCATATGATTTACTTTGGTGTCTAGAAAGAAAAGGAAAATGCATTGAACTTAATATTTCATCTTTAAAGCCTTTGTTGCCATAATTTAGTAAATGACTCTAGTACACAATGAACTTGATATTTATCATCCTTATATGTCCCTAGACTCTTAGAAATAGGTCTTGAACTAAATTGAACTATTCATCAAAGTCCTAGGTGCTAGAAAGATGGTTATCTCAAAAGAAGCAATTTTCAGCCCAGAAAATTTCCAGACCAGCCTATGCTAAAACTGCTAAAACTATTTTTGTAGTTGAAATTTTTAAGTAAGGCTAGGTGCATTAGAAAGCTGACTTCGATCTCTTGAGTTTAGACTCAAATTTCACCTAAAAAGGACTTGAATTGAATAAGATATGAGCATTACAAAATGCATATCTCTGGTCTGCGAAAATTCTGACCAGGTTGCACTAAAATGACCATAACCATTTCTGTGGTTATAATTTTTGAGCAAGGCCAGTGGATTTAGAAAGCTGACTTCAAGGCAATAAATTTAGACTTAAATTTCACCTCATTTGGAGTTTCATGGACTGAGTTATGTCCATTTGAAGTCAAGCCATTTTCTGTCAAAATCCAAAACAAGGTGTTGCCTCCATGAAAACTAAAGCAAGCACATTTTATCAATTGGAGCCGCCTCCCATTTTTATTGGAGCCGCCTCCCAATTATAGGAGCCGTCTCTTTGCACTCCAGTAGCCAAATTATGTATCGTAGAATGCATTTTGTGAATTGGAGCCGCCTCCCAGTTATTGGATCCGCCTCCCATTTATTGGAGCCTCCTCCAATTTTTTTGTAGAGCCGGCTCTTCTAAGTTATTTGAATCTACAACGGCACTTTTCTGCATTTAAGTCTTCCAACTACTTCTAACAGACATATTAAGTTACGGCTGTCTATATAAGGAAGGCTCATTTTGCTGAAGCACATAGACCACCATTTTGAGAGACATAATATTACATTTCAAGAGAGCTTTTGTTCTCTCATCTTCTCATCTCTCTCATTCACTCTTATTCTATCTTGAGAGATTCTAGCAAAGATTAAAAGGGCTTTTGCTCTTGCTTTAATCTTCAGAGAGTTTTTGCTCTATTATTCACTTGAGAGATTATAAAAGCTTACATTCTTCACTTATATCATCTTCTCTCATTCATATCATTTATAGAGTTTGAGCTTCACTTATATTCATATATACTCTAGTTAAGAGCTAAAGTTTGTACATCAATCTTTGAGAGATATTTCTTGTGAGCTTGCACTTGTATATCTATCTTGAGAGAGACTTAATCTTGTATTTCAATTACAATCTTTTCTACAAACTTGTAAGGGTTGGTGTGACCCAAAAGAAGCCTAGGAGAAGGGTGTTCTCCTAGTAAGGAAAAAAAGCAAGGTCTTGCTTCATGTAAAGGTTTGCTCTCCACCCGCAAGGAGAAGATATATTGGATTGGGAAGCCTCGAGAGGGATCTTGAGCCGAGGAGTAGGAGTTTCCGAACCTCGCAAAAATCGCCGTGTTGTTGTTTGCAAATTTCTCTTCCCTTATCTCTCTTATAATTATGCTTTAATTGCTTATTCCATATCTTGATCTCATATCTTGATTATTGCATAATTACTTAAATTGTTGAATAGAAATTGTATTTCTATATATTGCGAAAATTATCCATTGTTTGGCATTGACTCTATTCACCCCCCCTCTAGAGTCAATTCTTGGGCAACAATATCGAACCAGCCACACATGACCATTTAATGTACTACAAAGCATATCAACAGCTTAACCCAAGTTTTAACCATGGTTTCAGATTTTTAGATCAAAATATTAATATGGAGATTTTTATCAAAACAAGAATTCCCTATGTCATCAAATCTCCCCCATATATCGAAATCTCACCAGAGGTAGTCGCTATTATGGATGAAGAAGAAGAATGCAACAAAAGGTTATATGCTCGTTATGAAGAAGGAAATAACAGCTCACCAGACAGCATTGAAGAAAGAAATCTTGTGACGGCCCAAGTTTTGTAAACCCGGTGCGTCAGTGATGACCAAAAGATAACCCGATAATGGATCCGAAATGCGGAAGCGAAAGGTGAAACAACGGTCTCTAGAGATACAATGCGTCTCTAAAACACCAATGTGACCATCAATGAGGTCACGGAACCCAAAGGAAACAAATGCAGAAGTGTTGTTTTAAAAACGGACAAAAAGAACCTAGGGGCAAAATGGTCATTTTGCAAAAATTGGATTCAGGTGCTATCGAGCACACCGCTGGAAAGACAATGACAAATTAGTCAAGTTCAAAAAAAATTTTACTCAATTTGGAGTCCGGACGGGAGAGAAAGGTCAAAAACAAAAATGATGTCGTGGCGACCCGACGAGGACAACCCACCACTGCTGCAACTAAGAGTAAAAACGAGCATCTAAACGGACTTTTTTGGAAAAACTCAAAGAAGAAACCCCTCCTAAAATCAAGTTTCCTACCCCGTTCGCGGACAGAAACAAACAAAAAAAAAAATGCATTGTAAAATGCCCAGAATGCCTCCAAGAAAATCAGGTCAAGAGGAAAAAAACTAATCTGAGCTACTGCCCAAGTTTTGGAAATAGGGCCTCGGGAGGTTTTTAAATTGCCTTAATTGAAAATGCAATCTTAAAATACACCCACAAGAC